AAAAAAAAAAAAAAACACGAACATAAATTATTCGCCCGACCTCTTCCTGTATCGGATTCTTCGGCGGATCTTCGTTTCACTTCGTCGGCGCTACGCGGTCATGATGAAACGATTGAAAATTACAGGGGTCCACGGTGATCGTTAGAGATAACATCGGTCGTACCACGGCATTTTTTATCGTGTGTTGTTTTAAGCGCACTAACAACCGAGTAATTAAGTCTACTGGTGCTGGCCACCCTCACTTTCCTCAGGCTCTAGTTACCTTAGTGCGTTAATTATCGATTTAAGAAACCTGTGCGTACAGCACGTTGCAATGTTGCGTTCACATAAAATACGTATCGCTCGGTGGTCCTCGACCTTATCTAGCGTAACTTCATAAATATTGCCGTTATCGGGAGTTGTTAACGGCAAAAAAATATAGAAGCAGATTATGTGCCTTGCTGCTCAAAATTTCCTTCCTAAACTTCTGGCGAACGAAAGTTGTAGTGCTACGAGTTTCACTACATCAAATTATTCAGATGTGTTTAACGTGTGTCGAAGTATTTCAAATTATTTACCCTGTATGGTCTATTAATTAATTTTTAAATATTCTAGTCTAATTTTCTAGAATCATACTCGGAATGTAGTGCAAGAGATCGAAGCGCCAAACAGGAAACGAACCCGATGTAAGTAAAACCATACGTCAAGCGTCAAATATACCTCGGTGGTGATGTAATCCAGCGATGACATTTGTAAGTCGGTCGCTGGCAGACATTTTTATCAGTTGACCAACGAGATTAAAGAGCTTCCTGTCGCGGGCTCGCACCATCGCGGTTTTACACCATCACCACAGTGATGGTTGATTTGCAACGATGATTCGCAGCCGCCAGCGCGAGAGAAGACAAATAAAAACAGACAGCTGCCACGTTTATAAAAATGGAACGACCAGACGTGATGAACCATTCTTGTCTTTTTCACCCTGCAATGATGCACGCCGTAAGTTCAGTGACGTATCCGTAATTATTGGGCCTTACGCGACATCCAAAGGGACAAAATCGAGAGTGAAGTGAGAAACGCCACACAAAGGGTCGAGACAAAGGGGGAAAAGACACGCGAAGTATTGAAACTTCGAAGTAACGAAACGCGCGAAGCTTCCTTCGAAATTTCATCGTCATTTTCTAACGACGAATTGCGACAATTCGAGGTGCTTCTAGGTGCTACGGTGAAAGAGGGAAAGTTGGTACGTTCGAAAGAAGGGGGGGAAAAATGGTAAATGGGTGGGAACGAGATTGAAAGGAAAATTTGAAGAAAGGAGGAAGAGTTCACAAAAGGTGTAAAGAAGAGAGGTGTGGGGGGGGGTGAGTAGGAGGGAAGCGTGGAGCAAGAAAAGCAGCACGAGGGCTGTGCACACGAGCTTGGGGGAAATATCCACGTGCATCTGTGTATGTTAATATGTGTGAACCGCGTGCGCTATGCGCGGCGTCTGTCCTTGCGTCCTGGGCTCACTCAACATACGCCTTGGCAGTTGCCATGCGGGGCACTGGGTTCGTGAGTTGACGTCATTCCATCTCCCAACAGAGGCAAGTTGTTAATATTGATAACCCGAAGGTGTTACATGGCCCGGATATATCGGGATACAGGGGAAATGAGACTCGAATCAAATCGCACGTGCAGTGCAATTTTCTTCCTTCTCTCGCGCTTGAAATACAAACGTTTGATGTAAACTTACGTTA